GTGGAGTCCCCGTTTCGGCCCTGCGGGGCGGTGTGTGGGGAGAGCGTGACGGGCGGAGGGGCCGGTCCGGTCGGGACGATGCGGGACCCGGAGGCCGCCGCGTCCGGTGGGAGACGGAGCTCGTGAGTCGGAGCGAAGCCCTGAGTGGCGGGGGAGGGTTCCACCTTCATTGTCAAGACAGAACCATGGAGAAAGGTCACCTAGTTGGGTTTTTAAAACTTTACCAAAGACTGTTCAAAGAAAGCATGGTAGAAGGGACAGTGAGGGCTTTAAGGTGAAAGGTGCGTCGTTTTCCGAGTCGCGGCCCCGGAAGAGGTGACAGCACGGAGGCTCGTAGGTAAGACAGCCAGCCTGACGTCTCCCGATTTCCGGGCTAGGCGCAGGTACGGGAGGAAAGAGTCCATCGAGCCCCACTGTCGATACATTTCTGAAAGACCTGCCTCTTTCCTCTGTTCTCGTGGGTGTAGGTCTTACACAACCGAAACTAGGAAGTGGAGGGGGCTTCAGCCCCTCAGTGCCCCCACCCGCCATCGACATGGTTTGTGATGTTCTGGGCCATTTCTTTAGTCTTTGGGTGTGGGAGCCCTGGAGAAACTCAAACCCCAGGGTCCTAAGTCCATTGCAAGGGTTAGGTTGGAAGTGTTTTCCCGTTTCTGGAAGCCAGTATGTGGGACCAGCAGATGGCGTAATGGCTACGTCGCCGGGAGTCCCGGACCCCGGCATAAACTCACGCTGGGTGCGTGTTGGTGCGTGGCCAAGATCCCAAGGAGAGAACAGATTGAGTTGTGGCCATCCCTCCTGAGGGGGTGATATCATGCTTTCTGTCTCTGATTTCTGGAGAGCGCACGTGCCCTATACCAAAAGTTCTTAAAAAAAAAAAAGAAAGAAAAAGGGTAAACAGGTGTGGAAAGTTATTTCTAGAACTGATAATCAGGATTTGAAAATGCTTAGAGGTAAAACTGAGCTAAGAAACCACAGGTTTTTCCTTTAGGTGCGAATAACGAGCAGGGAAAAGGAGTCGAGACTGCACTGCTCCCTAACAGGTTGGGTGTCTATTTTGGGAGGGGGGATAATGGAAGGTTTGGGGCAGAAGAAGGGAGTGATTTTTTTTTTTCTTGGAGAGGTTTTTGCTATAGCGCGCCTGCGCTTGCCAAAAAGACAGAGAGACAGAACAGTGAGAACATCAGGAGCTTGGATTTGATAAAGGTTTGGTTCAGAAGAAGGGATTTTTTTTTTTCTTGGAGAGGTTTTTGCTATAGCGCGCCTGCGCTTGCCAAAAAGACAAGAGTTCTATTCAGTGAGAACATCAGGAGCTTGGATTTGATACTGCTGAAAATGTTTCAGACCACAGAGTTGGAGGCATTACGTGGGGAATAGAACACAGAGGTGGAAAACAGGGGAGTAACTCAGAATGGAGACACTGAAAATGTAGTACTAGGGCCAGCAGGTGGAGGTTAAGGTGCTGGACTTCCACATGGCTGACTGTAGTCTAGTTCTGGACCTGGAAGCTTGAAAATCACACTGGTTACATGTGCGTGTGTGCCCAAAGTCCCAAGAGGAGAATAGGGAAGACGGTTTACAATGTGACCATCTTCCCCCGAGGGCGATTTTCTTTTTCTTTTTTTGGAGAGGTTTTTGCTGAGGGCGCGTGTGCTCGCCAGAAAGACAGAGACAGAGAGACAGAAAGTGAGAAATCACCCGCCCCCCAGGAGGGATGGCCACACCGCAATCCCTTCTCCTCCATTCTCTCGGAATCTTGGGCACACGCATCCACACGCACCCAGCGTGAGTTTAAGCCACCAGGTCCAGGACTCGAACTGCAGTCAACTACATGGGAGTCCAGTGACATAGCCATTATGCTAACTGCTGGTCCCCTGAGGGTGATTTTTCACTGTTCCTCTTTCTCTAGTGAGTGCATATGTCATATGGCAAAATAAATTGTTTAAAAATAAAATGTGGTAGTTATTGTGTGGACTCAGGTGGGTGAGCTGTGGATCCATTTAGGAGTTCTTCAGATTATGGTGGTTTAAACTGTGATGATAAACCTCTAGGGCGCCAGGAAGAAGAGAATCTTGAATTGGGCCTCTTAGTTCGATATCTAGGTGACAGTATTGGGCTTTACAAACACAGAGGAAGGAGATAAATGGCCATGAAGTTATGACACTTTGGACAGGATAGTTTGGCAGTTGACAAACGGTCTTGGAGAGAAGTGAATGTGAGATGTATGCAGAGGCATGGATGTTTGTGAGGCAAGGTGACACTCAAACCAAACCTGGTGTTTATTCACCACTCTATGGAATCACTAGGATTTTGTGATGACTTTGATGGGGTCTGGAGGTGTTTCATTCATCCTGGAGGATAAACCAAGGACAAATAAGTTCAGCTGTGAAAGTCTCTTGGCCTGGAGTAGGCAACCAATAGGTCTGGTCCCCCGTCCCCAGAGATTTTTGCTATAGAGTGCATGCGCTCACTGGAGAGACAGAGACAGAAAGCAAACAATCCCCCCCTGGGGGGGCTAGCCACGCCACAATCCCTTCTCCATTATCCTCTCAGGAATTTGGGCGTGCGTGCCCCCACACACCCACACACATGCACCCGCGCCTGGTGTGAGTTTCAAGCCACTGGGTCTGGGACTCAAACCACAGCCAACTATGTGGCAGTTCATTACCTTAGCTACTACATTACCTGCTGGTCCCATAGGGCTGGTCTTTGAGTGTTAGGTGGACAGAGAAAGATTGTGGCTGCTGAGGGGACAACAAGTGCAGGATAAAGTGGAATAGGGCTGTGGATATCTGCGATGCGCATGTGGTTCTGTGAGGCTCAGTCTGAGACAAAGAATGGAACTAGCAAGGAACCCTCTTGGAATTTGGGGCTGACACCACTAGTGGGAGCCTTGGGAAATCTAGAGTGGTAATAGATCCTGTTTAAATTTATCAAGGATTCTCTGGAGAAGAGTGGAAAGAATAATTTGCACTCGGACCATCTGATGATGTCGCAGTATTATAAGATGTCTAGATGGCACATAATATTTGGCCTTAATTTTAGGACTTACACCATAATTCAGTACACACTCTTCTCCCCAGGAAAGTCTCCAAACAACTCTTTTTTACCAAGGAGTCATCGTCTTATTCCTTTGTAGTGGGTTTTAGCTCCTTACCAGTCCATGGAATTATCCAAACAAGCCAATTGTGGGAAATATGATGCACCTCACCCTTTTGGTCTTATATATCTTGCGTCCCACAGCCTCAATTTTTTTTTTTTCTGGACTATATACCCCGACATGGCCCTGTGTGATGTGTGTTGGCCACCTCTCCCAGGGTGTGTATGTATATCAGTAGTAAACTATTAATCTATTTCCTTTGTCTAGTGTTAGGTATAGTGTTTTTGGCCATTCCCATAACCTGAGGGCTAGAATCCCAGCCTCAACAATGTGGTGAAGAGGTGATTAAAGCAGTCAGGTATGGGGGTACCAGGGGGCTGCCTGTGGTGTATGGGCAGTGAGGTGGTAGTGGCTTCAGGCATGGGAGTATGGTGTCTGGACATACTAGGGATCTGTAGTCCAAAGAATGATGTGCAGTTGGAGAGGGAGTATTCCTGATGGCTCCAGGGCTCTAGTATTGAGATTCATGTGACCTTTGGCTATTGCCAATGGGGATTGCCTAAAAGGAAGGGTTGGATCCTTCTATGCCAGACCCTTAGCTGTGTGTCTGTGTGCTGTTGTTGTACCCTGTGGTCAGTGAACCCTTGAAGAGACAGTGACACCAGAGTCCATTTCTCTGAGTTGGGGAGCTTGGTAAGAGGATGGACATGGGATAAATGTATGAGGGAAGAGATTGTGGGTTCTTGGGAGAGAGGATGTTTGTGTTTTCATCTGTCTTTATTCTTTTTTTTTTTTAAGAGAGATTTTTGTTATAGGCATGTACACTTGTCAGAAAGACGGAGACAGAAAGTGAGAAATCATACACCGTGGGGATGGCCACCCTGCAGTCTATTCTCCATTCTCTTGGAATTTGGGGCATGCACGCATATGCACTTGGCATGAGTGTTAAACTGCCAGCTCAGGACTCAAACTGCTGTCAACTAGGTGGGAATCAAGCAGTGTAACCATTACACCATCTACTGGTCCCCATCAATCTTTATTTTGACAGGGTACTGTGACCTTTGAAGATGTGGCTGTGTACTTCTCCTGGGAGGAATGGGGTCTCCTGGATGAGTCTCAGAGATCCCTGTACCGTGATGTGATGCTGGAGAACTTGGAACTTTTAACCTCTCTGGGTAAGGTCACCACAGCTACCTGTGTGCCTGAGCTAGTCTGTACTCTTCCCTTTTCCTTAGTCTGGCCTTCTCACGTCAGGACCATGAGCTCTATTTTCTTCTCAGTTCCCCTGGATAAATAGTGTATTTGTTAAGGTTGAGGTGTATGCAGTGCCCTCTCCTCTCCTTGAGGAGTCCTAAAGCCTGTTTCCCCACAGCTTTGCAGGGAAGGATTCAGGGTCATGCAGTCACCTTAATGCATCTCATCTTGCTTCCCCTCTCTATGACTGGGTGACTTTGTCTACACCTGAGGCTTTGTGTGCCCTAAGCTCCACTTCCTTCCTCTAGCTGACATTTCATTATGCCTGCCTGTGCCAAAGATTACTGTCAGAATGGTCAATACTTACGTGAACCATGGATGCTTCTTTTTTTCTTTTTTCTTTTTCTTTTCTTTTTTTTTTTTTATTTCTTTTTTTTTTTTTTTTTTTTTTTTGGAGAGGTTTTCGCTATAGGGCGCGTGTGCTCGCCAGACAGACAGAGACATAGAGACAGAAAGCGAGAAATCACCCCCCAGGGGGGATGGTCATGCCGCAATCCCTTCTCCTCCATTCTCCTCTCAGGATCTTGGGCACGCATGCACACGCACCCGGCGTGAGTTCTAAGCCACTGGGTCCAGGACATGAACCGCGGTCGACTACGTGGGAGTCTAGTGACATAGCCATTACGCTAACTGCTGGTTCCCAACCATGGATGCTTCTTGCAAGACATTCCTCTGAAGTTTTCTTTGTAATATTTGTAGTATTATTTTCCTGTGTGTAATTCTAAGTTTTTCCTGGGCCAATGTTGGCTGTTTTTCCATCCTTTCTTCCCTTGGTTTTATCCAGGTGACATGGATAAACTTGAGAGTAAAGAGGAGAGTCCTCAGTGGTTTGCAGGACAGCTATGAATCCAGCCACAGCAATATGGCTCAGAGGGAACCTAGCTCTGAGGAATGTTAACTGACTAACATCATAATGTGATGATTGTTCAAAGCACAGCACAAACCAGTTCTGTTTGTTGAGCATTTTGGTTTCATTGCAAGTGCCCACAACTCATCTCTGCTTTTCCCTTCACCATTCAGGGACACTTTGCTGGTTTGCCACTACTGCTTATTACTGTCTTATCACCATTCTGGGGTTAATCCTCACATCATCTCACGCATTTTTCTCACTGCTCGATCTGCAGTGCTCTCCAACATTGAATTCTACATATTGGGTCATGAGGTATGCACACATACTCCTCTTGGGAACTTGGGCATGCATACACACATGCCCAGCGTGAATTTAAACCACCAGGTCCAGAACTCGAACCATGGTCGACTACGTGGGAGTCCAGTGGCATAGCCATTATGCCAACTGCTGGCCCCATCTATGTTTCTCCCTTTTTAAAAATTATTTTATTTAACTTTATGTATTATTATTTTCCAGTTTGATCAGAGATCTGAGACACAGAGAGAGAGGGAAAGTGAAAAAACAAGACACCAGGTCTGGGACTTGAACTGTGGTCAGCCATGTGGGAGTCTAGCACCTTTAACCACCATGTCACCTGCTGGCCCCTATGTTTCTCTATGCAAAGATACATCATGACTTTTTCTATTGACTCAACAGTTCATGAGAGCCAGATACTCTGTTGTTATACTTCCATATGCCTATACACACCATTCTTTTTTTTTTTTTTAATTATTTTTTTGGAGAGGTTTTATGCTATAGGGCACATGCACTTGCCAGACAGACAGAGAGAGACAGAGAGATAGAAAGCAAGAAATCACCCCCCAGGGGGGATGCCCACGCTGCAATCCCTTCTCCTCCATTCTCCTCTCAGGATCTTGGGCATGCATGCACATGCGCCCGGTGTGAGTTTAAGTCACCGGGTCCAGACTCAACCCGCGGTTGACTACGTGGGAGTCCAGCGACATAGCCATTACGCTAACTGCTGGTCCCTGTACACACCATTCTACACAGCACTTGTGTGTTACCAACAGACAAAGTTCTAAAAATTATGTGCAGAGGATTGAGTTTTAAACTAGATCTCTCTGTGTTATGTTCCAAGGTTGTCCTTTATCTCATGAACCTTCCTTCATTCTGGGATCTTTATAGCCTCATATTACTAAGTAGTCTCATTTTTAGCCTGAATCCAACTCCTCCTTCATGCAAACAGTCCCACAGACTTGTTCCTGGATTTGTCATACATACACTTATGTAGGGGCTCTCCCTTCCCACTAAGGACATTTACTTCACTGCATTTCTTAATTCTAGGTTGTTGGCGTAAAGTGGTGGATGAGGAGGCATCTTCTGAGCAGAGCATTTCTTTAGGAATGTCAAAGAACAGGACTTCAAAGGGAGATCTGTCTCCCCAAGAGGTCTCCTGTGAGATGTGTAGCCCAATCTTCAGATACAGTTTGCACTTGGCTGAGCCCCAGGGGACACATCAAGGGAAGAAAGTTCATAGGTGTTGTAGGGCATGTTGGAAACAATTGTATGTCAGTGCAGATGATACTCAGCACCAGAAGCAGGACACCAGAGAGAAATACTTCAGAAGCGACATGGATAAAGCCTTGTTTGTGAAGAGTTGCAAATTCCATGGGTCAAAGGAGACTTTCACCTGCAAGGAAGTTAGGAAGGATTTCTTGATCGGATCAAGATTTTTCCATCAACAGACTATATGCACTGGGAATCAGTCAAACAGCAAAGAGAATTGTGGGGCTGTTTGTCACAGAGAAAAAATCCATTACAGCTGTGTAGAAAGCACCAAAGCCTTCCGATCCAAACACACACCTGTTCAGCAACAGAGAACCCTCACTAGAGAAAAATGTTACATGTGTAATGAATGTGGGAAATCCTTTAGCAAAAGCTACAGCCTCAATGACCACTGGAGAGTTCACACTGGAGAAAAGCCTTATGAATGTGGGGAATGTTGGAAATCTTTTAGGCAAAGCTCCAGCCTTATTCAACACCGGAGAGTTCACAGTGGAATACGACCTCATGAATGTGATGAATGTGGAAAACTATTTAGCAACAAGTCCAACCTTATTAAACATCGGAGAGTTCACACTGGAGAAAGGCCATATGAGTGCAGGCAGTGTGGGAAATCTTTTAGTGAAAGCTCTGCGCTTCTTCAGCACCAGAGTGTTCACACTGGAGAAAGGCCTTATGAGTGCAGTGAATGTGGGAAATTCTTTACCTATCATTCCAGTCTCATAAAACATCAGAAAGTTCATAGTGGATCAAGGCCTTATAAGTGCAGTGAATGTGGGAAGTCATTTAGCCAAAACTCCAGCCTCATTGAACACCATAGGGTTCACACTGGAGAAAGGCCATTTAAGTGCAGTGAATGTGAAAAATCCTTTAGCCAAAGCTCTGCACTACTTCAACATCGGAGAGTTCACACTGGAGAAAGACCTTATGAATGCAGTGAATGTGGGAAATTCTTTACCTACAGCTCCAGCCTCCAAAAACACCAGAGAGTTCACACTGGATCAAAGCCTTATGAGTGCAGTGAATGTGGGAAATCCTTTACTCAAAACTCCAGCCTCATTAAGCACAGGAGAGTTCACACTGGGGAAAGGCCATATGAATGCACTGGCTGTGGGAAATTCTTTAGCCATAGCTCTAGCCTCATTAAACACCAGAGAACTCATAGTCATTAAAAGCCTGATGGGTACATATGTAGGATATCCTTTAAAATCCTAGAGAAATTTCTTATGAGTACTGTATATTTGAGAAAGCCTTTAGCTAAAGGCTTTACCTCATTAGGTACCACAAAATTTACATGAGAAAGAAAATGCCCTTGATATGCAAGGATACACTATTCCCTTGTGCAATGTAACAATTCTGAAGGAGAGCCCATGTGAGAGTGCTATCTGCTTGAATTAAACATCATATAACCAAACTCCATTTAATTCCAACTGTATGAGAGGTACATTACACTTTTAACCTGACCAGTGCCCTTGCCAGACTTATGTCATTGCCAATTCTAAAGCAGAAGCCATTTTCTTGTACTATGTGGCTGGTGCCCAGTGTATTCAGGTAAGTTAACCTCAGTGTTCTCCCAGCCATAGGACGAATTCTTGACTTGAGCATTTGTTCCTTTTTCATTTCTTCCTCTTTGATGAATTAGTGTGGACCTGACCCACTTTGGTATAGAGGACTCTACTGGGGACTTGAAAACATGGACTGCCTTTTTCAAGGATCTTGTGGGTTCACATGATGCCTTTGATAGAATTTTTTAGCCTCCAAGTCATTAACTCTGAGACCAGTCTACCTACTATTGCTCTGGTTTGCATAATAAAGATATTATTTTTAAAAATTAATTAATTATTATTAATTTGACCAGAGACAGAGTGAGAGAGGGAAAATGAGAAAGCAGGTCACCAGGTCTGAGAGTCTAGCACCTTAACCACCACACCACCTGCCTGTCCCATAAAGATCTTATTTTAAAAATCACCACCAAACTTTGGGGTTCTAGTAACTGTGTGTGATGGGTTAAAACAATTGGATTCTGCTGAGTGGGTTTCAAATGGTTGAACAACTTTGGTTGGAATCCCAAACTTCATGTGCCCCAAACAGGACAATCTGATGGTAGAATATGGCATTCTTTCTAGTTTGGACCTAGTCTGTATCACTTCTCAAGGCCTCCAAGAAAAAAAAAAAAGCAGGATATTGTCATAATTTGTCTCCTGGTTGCCATAATATATTGTGGGTTCAAAGGTCAGCCTGAGGAAGGGATAGTTGTGACAGTCTGGTGTTCCTGAGAGAAACGAGAAGTTCTCTTGTTCATAGGGGATACGGTGTTATACCCAGCACTGGTAATGGAAGTATGTTCCCCATGAAGGATTTAAATGCCTTTATATTTTGAATTACACAGGGTAGTATCAGAAGTTAAGATTATGGTAGGAATTGTAATCATTACAGAAATACTGGATTAATAGGGAGTAGAAGATACTGCAATAAACTGGTGAGTGTGCCTCTTTTACAGGGCCTTCCATGATGTTCCAGTCACTATGGCTTTGAAGACTGAGCAGGTACAGAAATTCTCAGGACCTCCAGAACTGTGTATTTTTGTGTAGCTGAGTAATTGTCCAAGAATATAACAGAAAGATTTTCTGGATTCCTCTAGTCTAGGCTGTTCTCAAGACATTGCTGTGCAGGCAGGAAAGTAAGAATAGGGAGAAAGGAAGTCTTAAGTCCAGCTGTATGGCTTGTATGATTCCTGTTGAATCATGTAGAAACGACCTTCACAACCCATCTGTAAGTTACTAATTTTTTAAAAAAACTGTTTTATTTTATTTTTTATTTATTCATTCATTTATTTTTAAAATTTGACCAGAGACAGACAGAGGGTGAGAGTGAGAGAGAGAGGAAGTGAGAAAGCAAGCCACCAGATTCAGGACTCGAACCCCGGTCGGCCATGTGGGAGTGTCCAGCACCTTAACCCGCTGGTCCCAAGTTACTGTTTTTTAAAGAATTTTTATTATTTTTAAAAATAACTACTCTATTTAACTTTATTTATTTTAATTTGACCAGAGAGAGACAGAGAAAGTGAGAAAGCAAGCCACCAGGTCCAAAGACTTGAACCACAGTTGGCCCTGTGGGAGTCCAACACCCTTAACTACCACACCACCTGCTGGCCCCTGTTACTGTTTTTTAATTTGACCAGAGAGAAAGAGAAAGTAAGAAAGCAAGCTACCAGGTCCAGGATGGACTTAAACCATGTAGACATCCAGCATCTTAACCACTACACCACATGCCAACCCCTATTTTTAAATTTTAAATTGACCAGAGAAAGACGAGAGAGGGAAAGTTAGAAAGCAAGCCCCAGGTCTGGCACTCGAACTGTGGTAGGAAGGCCATATGGGAGTGTCCAGCACCTTAATCACCATGCCACCTGCTGGCCCCAATTTTAAATTAATTATTTTAAATTTTGCTATTGGGCATGTGTGCTCACCAGAGAGAGAGAGAGAAAGTTGAGAAAACAAGTCACCAGGTTCAGGACTTGAACCATGGTTGACCATGTGAGAATCCAGTCCCCCAACCACCATGCTACCTGCTGGCTTCCTGCCCATTTACATTTGTTACTACTGAGGTAAGGTGCCCTTTCCAGGGCATGAGTAGAATGATGGCATCAACATAGGATTGTCAAATCTGATTTTCTAAAAACAGTAGGGAATTCAGACTATTATTGTGGATAATTTTAGACATTTAATAAAGTATAAATGACGTGTGATAAACATCACATATTTGAACTGTACAATTTGATAAGCTTTGACACTTATAAGCCCATCGAACCATCTTTACAATCATGATACTGAACTAATCCACACTCTCATATTTACCTTGTGCTCTTTAATAATTCTCTGTGATTTCCAGGCAAGCATTGATATATTTTCTTTAACAATAGGTTATTTATTTATTTTTAGAGAGATTTTTGCTGTATTGCACATGTGCTTACTAGAGAGACAGAAAAGGTGAGACATGGGACCAGCAGTTACAGTAATGGCTATGTCACTGGACTCCCACGTAGTTGACCGCGGTTCGCTTCTTGGACCCAGTGGCTTAAAACTCACGCCGGGCGCATGTGTGTGCATGCCCAAGATCCCAAGAGGAGAATGGAGGAGAAGGGATTGTGGCATGGCCATCCCCCCTGGGGAATGATTTCTTACTTTCTGTCTCTCTGTGTATCTCTGTCTCTGGTGAGCACACATGCTCTATAACAAAAAACCTCTCAAAAAAAAAAAAAAAAAGGAAAGGTGAGACATCACCCCACATGGGGGATGACCACACTGCAATCCATTACTTTGGTATTTGGGGCATGCACACACACACACTCAGCATATTTCAGGCCTCCAGGTTCGGGGCTTGAACCTTAGTTGGCCATGTGGGAATCCAGTGACATAACTATTACACCATTTGCTGATCCCAACAATAGTTTATTAATAGTTTTCATTCTCTAGACTTTTATATGCTTGAAATCATGAAGTATTTCATCTTTTTTCCTCAATGCACTCATAAAGCATGATATTTTGAGATCAATGGTGTTTAGATGTGTAGTTCATTCTCTTAATATTACTGAGAAGTATGATGTTTTATGAATACACAACTATTTATTCATTCTTTGGTTTATGGACATTTTGAGTCATTTACAGTTTCTGGCTATTCCAAATAAAAGTATAGTTTTTTAAAATGTATTTTTAGACACTAGAATACAATTGATCATGTAGCTCTTTCACTCCTCATGTGTTAATGCCTCAGGGTGCAATGCCCGAGTCACAGGGTAGTGAATGCATAATTTCTTTTTTAAGAATTTTTTTTTTTTTAAAGAGAGCTTTTTGTTACAGAGCTCCTGCACTTGCTGGAGAGACAGAGACAGACAGAAAGTGAGAAATTACTCCCCAGGGGTATAGCCACGCCAGTCCCTTTTCCATTCTCCTCCCAGGATCTTGGGCATGCATGCACATGTACATGATGTGAGGGGTTTTTTTTGTTTGTTTGTTTGTTTTCCATTTTAAGAATTGTTTTTATTTAAATTTATTCTAATTTGACCAGAGAGGGACAGAGAGAGGGCGTGGGGGGAGGTGAGAAAGCAAGTTGCTGGGTCTGGGACTCGAACCATGGTTGGCCATGTGGGTGTCTAGCCACCTTAACCACCATGCCACCTGCTGGCCCCAACCTAGTGTGAGTTTTTTCAATTTTTATTTGGAGAGGTTTTTGCTATAGAGGGTGCATGTGCTTGCCAGAGAGACAGAAAGTGAGAAATCACCCCCTGGGTGGGATGGCCATGCTGCAGTCCCTTCTCTTGGGATCTTGGTCACGCATGTACACTTGCCCAGCATGAGTTTAAGCCACCGGGTTCAGGACTCGAACTGTGGTCGACTCCATAGGAGTCCAGTAACATGGCCATTATACCAACTTCTGTTCCCATCCCGGTGTGAGTTTTAAGCCACCAGGTCCAAGACTCAAACCACAGTCAACTACATGGGAGTCCAGTGATGTAACCATTACACCATCTGCTGGTACTGCCATCTTCCTTTTTTAACAACCTGCTCTTGCGAGAATTAACCTCTTCTCATGAGAGCTAGAACTTAGTGCATCTTGAGAGACATTGTTTACACCAAACAAACCACTTTAACCAATGTTACACGGTTATGATCCTATCTAAATCCTCAAAAGGTAAATCTCTAGAAATATTCAAAGAAGGCTTTATAAAATAAGAATACATAGTCTATGTTTGAAAAGGAAGAATGGAAAAAGAAATCTGGTTGTATCCTTCACTAAGATAGTATCTGGTACTCTCAAGAGTAGCACCAGATTATTTCAAATTGCTAATACCCAAGTTTCATGAAACTACACATGAAATACACAAGTTGGCTAGTATCTCAGATCAATAGTTGTAAAACAGTCAGTGTTAATTTTAGGTTATGTGTCACCTATTAATAGCATAATCCTGAAAAAAGCTGAAAAAGACAAGCATTTGTTGAAGAGCTATAGTCCGTGCAAATCTCTAAAATGGTAGTTGACTCTTTGTTTTAATCTTTTGGAAAAGCTGAAAGAGCCAATGGCTCTTTAAAAATTATGAAAATTCTCAGAAACCCTTGAACTTCCATGGCCAAAGGTACTGCTATTCCTTATGGATATACAGTCCATTCCTTCAGGGACAAATTGGTTAACTCTCTTTGAATTGGTAATCAGAAGGCCTAATAGCTAGAAATTTTGCCTCTAATTCTAGACTCTGTCCTACAGTATGCAGACATGAGAAAATACTGCAAATTACTCATGTACTGTACCTAGTCCTATCTTTGGTCTCTTGTTGCTGATTAGTATCTTTTAATTTCAATTGAAGAACTTTCTTTAGAATATTTAGTAAGGCAGGTCTAATAGTGATAAACTCCCTCAGCTTTTGTTTTGACTTAATATATAATTTTGGGGGACCAGCAGGTGTTGTGGTTAAGGTGCTGAACACTCCCACATGACTGACCACAGTTTGAGTCCTGGACCTGGTGGCTGGCTTTCTTAATCTCTCTCTCTTGCTCTGTCCCTGTCTGGTCAGATTAAACACACTGGGTGCGTGCGTGTGCCCAAAATACCAAGACTGAAGCAGGGTCTGCTGTGTGGTCATCCCCCACACACAAGTGCATATACCCTATAACCAAAAGAAAAAAATACTTAAAGACAGCTCTGTGTGATCCAACAGATTTACTCTGGTTAATAAATATCTGAAACTTGGAGGGAAAAAAAAATATTAAAAAAATACCATTTTTGAAGGACAGGTTTGCTGGATATAATTTTTTTTGAGAAGTTTTTGTAGGGTGTATGCACTCGCC